CATCAGGACAAGTAAAACAGGAGGTCATGGAAAACAGGGTTCTTGCCTAATACAGTGATTCCCAACCTTTTTGAGAATGAAGTCCCCCTTTTCAACATCAGATTTCATGGATACTCCCCTCCCACATAAAGATAGTTTTTATCCATTAAGAAAATGCATAATGACAAAAAGTTACTTAATCGCAACAGCATATATGTACATTTGGAAAATAATGCATATATGTGTGAGACACGCTGTTCAGTCTATATAAGGTATATTTGTTTGCTTGTTCTACCGAATCATTTAATGAGATGGCTGGTGCTTTTTTATAGCTTTTCGAGTCGGGAAGTCTGGTTGAAGCAGTGCAAGTTTCAACCACATCAGCTTGTTTCTGTATTTCAGTGCAACAAGTAAAGAAAATCACCCCTTTGCGAACAGTTAGTAGTTAGTCTGTACTCATGGGAATTTGGTTGGATGCCCGATGAGCTTGACAGCTCATTAACAGTTGGTGGATGCTTATTTATTTGCTTTTATTTCAACCCTGCTTCTCAGTGGTAACTTGGCTCCCAAAGGAGCTCACAGGTATCAGAATTTAACCCGAGTAATTATTGACGTGCGGTACAATTATTGAAGTGCAATACAGAAGGGGGTGTTTTGTGGAGAGGATTCTCAGATGTGCAGGATCCAGGCATGATCAAGGGATGCTCGGCTGCCCCTTCCCCCCCTTGGCCTTAGTGATGTCACTTGGGTTAGAAAGCAGGGAGGGGGGGCTCATCTCCAGAATATGCTGTTGGATCTCTGGCCCCATGTGTTGAGCTGCCAGTCTTTTCCGCAGCTGATAATGTGGTGATTGCTAATCTAGGCAGCAAAATAAATGAGAAGTCCCAGTGGCACCTTAATGAGTAACAGATTTTATTTTCTTATGCTTTCTCAAGCTTTCTTGAGTCTAGGCTGACTTTATATGCATGAGCTTCCATATAAATCAGGCAGAATGTGGTTTATTTCTTAACAGAAGTTGTTAGCAGCATTTAAAAAATGCTTTAACTTGGGGATGCATTGCGACTGGGAGAGAAATTTGCTTTGAATACATTCTGTACCACTTCACGTGTAGCAAGCCTGAGCTCTAGTTCTCCAAAGGGGTTTGCATTTCCTGAATTTGAACCTTGGTCTCACAGATCCTAGTTCAGCACTTTAACTGCTACACTAAAGAAAGTTAGGATGAGTAAGCTTTGTATTGGCTCAGGAGGTCGTGGTTATCGAGCCTCATTCAACTACATTCACTTGCCCTCTATGAACTTTCTATTTACTCCAAACGAACTGATACAGGCTCCAATACCATACAGATCCATGATGGCTGTAGAAATTGAAAGGACAGCCTATTTTACATGGGTACTTGGAAGACATGGCATAAGTTGTGCTGGCATCCAGAGGTCTTCTGCCTTGAGTTATATGGGGGGGGGGGGTGTTAAGTGGTACAGGTAGAGGAGGTTAGAGGCTATGAAGACCAGTTTACCTCAGATCCTGGTACTTTTCAAAAGATGGTCTGATGTGAAGTCTTCAGTCAAGTATGATCCAAAGATAATCAGCCGTCGACTTCCTTGTTTCTGCTGTCTGAGAGAGTACTTTGGCATCTTCACATGAAAAATTTTCTTTAGGGAGCATCATATTTTCTACAGGTTCCTCAGCTGCCCTTCAGATGTCTTCCTGACATCTTGTTGGAACTGCTGACAGAGGTATTTCTGGTTGTGTCGCCATCTGCAGGGAAGGTCTCGGAATGGAGCCCATGACTGTGCACTTTCCATTAAGACAAGGTGGCGCTGAAGACAGACCTAGCATTGACGGATTAAATCAGCTCTTCCTTCCACGGGTCTCTGGAAAATTATCCTGCCTCCTTTTTACCCAAAAGCATCTTACAAAAAGAAGGGGACCCTTGCTGTACAGTAGTTGAAACAGCAGGAAAAATCACTGATCAGAAAAATATCTAGCCGTAAAAAAACCCAACCATGTAGATTTAATAATATACTCTATGAAATACTGTAAATTACTGTGTCAGTAAACTCATTCCACATGAAACATGCTTTCAAATAACATTTGCAATAATTAGCATAACATACTTTCAGTTAGCATTTGCAATCATCATCATAGGAGTCGAGGCTTGTAGCAAAATAAGCCAAAATATTTAGATAATCAAAGGGCACATCAGTGCTCTCAACACAGTCCGAATATTAAACTTCCTGGAGAAGGTAATTGCTACCGGAGAATCCAATGTTTTGACACAGCATAAGCCGTCTGTCTATTCCACATATCTTGGCAAGTGGGTTCTCAACTTCCATGGCTTTGGGGCTTATGGTTCTGCAGCAAGACAAACCATCTCTGAATTGTAAAACACAGCTTTTCAGCATCCTGTTAAAAAACATTGTTCTCCTTCTCCAAGTGAGAATGTAGTATCAGGATTACCAAGAAGGTTAATTCTGCTTGGAGCATGAAGGACATCCTTGCCCCACTCTACTGTTAAAGCAGGGAATGAATATGGTGTGGCTTTGGACACAGGGCAACATATGAGTATCCTTTCTTTTTACGTAAAAATAAATAACATTTCCCTTTCTTCTCTTAAGTTCTTCATACGTTGTGGATTTCAACTTTGTACTTAACTACTTCTGTGAAGGTAGATCACACACAATGGTGTATATGCATTAAGTGCCGCAAAGTTGCTTCTGACTTATGGCGACTGCCGCGACCCTAAGAATTAACGTTCTTCAAAACATCCTGTGGTTAACAACCTTGCTCAAGTCTGGCAAACAAGGGCCGTTTATGAAAACATAGGTTCCAAACAGCTACAGAAATCTCTGAACTGGAGGATGAGAGTGCCACCTGATGGCGGAGATGGAAAACTGCAGCCTATTTCATGAGCCCACACTGGAAGCCCCCCCTCCGTCCCGTGTTCAGTCAATCAAGGCTATCTTTTATCCTTCCAGCTGAACTAAAGTTTTTGTTAAGCTCAATGTTACATTTATTTTGTCCATATGTGTGTAAAGAATACTAAGCAAGATCACTTAAAGATTAAGTGCCCAGAACTTTCCAGAAGTGCATGTATGTGTGTATGGAGAGGGAGAGAGAGAGACCCAAACAGAAATCCTGTTTTACAATTACCCTTGTAAGTACCTGTAAATCCTGTAGTGTAAAAAACCCACAAACCTATTTTAATTGTTATAACAGAAATAAGCATGCTTATTCAGAAAATGTTTCTTACAGCGCCGGAAATGTGACTTAAATCTTCCTTGGGGATAAGTAAAAATATTTAAATCGGTCCACTCTGGCACTGAGTACATTAACAGACCTTGTATAAATAATACCTTTGTAGCGGATGTTGTCATATGAGAAGGATCTCCTTTAGCTGCAAGGAGTCAAGAGTGCCAGTCCCGTGTCCCACCTAAATCATGTAAAACAGATGGTTCTGTTCCCTCTGCATTCAGTAGAGGCTCCCCACAGTCTAGCATTCTTGTGTGGCCATGTTAAAAGTTCATCCTATCATATTGTTTGAGAATGATGATAACCACAAGGGCTACTAGTATAAAGGCATTATGATGTATACCACCTCTGTCTTTGCCAGAAATGATTGAGTAAAAAATTCTTAATAGCTTTTAAACCTCATTATAAGCCTGCAGGCACCTTTGGAATTGACACAAGGTGTTGGGTGCAACCACAGAAAAGCTACTGCAGGCAGTGGAGTCAACCACAGATGTCAGGGACTGAAGTCATGTATAACTCTATTGCATAACATTTTAAGTAGAAGCTGTGCTTAACAGGGTGCCTTCTTAAGTGAACATACTGTTTTAAAAATATTTTCTTGCTTACACACAGCTTAGCTTCAGTCATGCAGACTTTTCCAGTTTAGAAAAGAGATGACCGGGGGGGGGACATGATAGAGGTTTATAAAATTATGCAAGGGAGTGGAGAGAGTTGACCAAAAGAAATTTTTCTCCCTCTCCCAAAATATTAAAACTTGAGGGCATCTAATGAAGCTGGTGGACAGTAGACTCAGGACGGACAAAAGAAAATACTTTGTTACACAGAGTGATTAAAATATGGGTTTTGCTGCCAGAAGATGTAGTGATGGCCACAGGAATGGACAGCTTTAAAAGGGAATTAGATAGATTCATGGAGCATAGGTCTATTGGGGGCTACTAGCCATGGTGACTTATGGGAACCTCCACATTCAAAGGCACTAAACCTCTGAATCCTAGAGCCAGGAGGCAACATCAGGGGGGAGGTCTTGGCCTCTATGCCCTGTTATTGGCTCTCCAGAGGAACTGTTGGCTACTGTGTGAGACAGGATGCTGGACTAGATGAACCACTGGTCTCATCCAGCAGGGCTCTTCTTATGTCCTTATGCAGTAAAGATTCTTAGCAGCTGCTACAAAGCAATGTTTTTTTTTTAACCTGCACATCCCATCTCCAAATAAAAATCTTCAAGCACCATGTTGGGGCCCCCCTGCCTCAGTGCATTTTAAAATAATCTGCTGTGACCTGTGTCTTCCAGTTTGCTGTAATATTTTGATAATCAGTGTTAGTGTGCTGTATGTTCCCTTCAATTTATGTATAATCTTGACTTTGTATATAGACTACTTCTGTACAGTGCAAGAGGCTCACGTAGGTCTGATCTCAATTATCTTTTTGCTATGTATATGCTATTCCAAAAGAAGTGGAGAAATAAGTTCTACTGGTTTGTTCATAGATGGTTCTATTAAGGAGACCTATTAAGGTATTATCGGTCAGCCACCTTTGGTTGCAAGCCATTATAGGAATGGGCTGTGTTGCTTCTGTTGCCATCCATGCTGCTGTTAAATACTGGAGAATACTACTGCTACTGTGTACTTGTTGGAAAAATTGACTGGGGCTTCTTTGGCAATGGCAGCACTTCTAGCATTTGTGAGCTAATAATAATGGGCATACATCCAAGCATGAATGAAAAAGGGTTTATTCATTACTTATATTTACACTCAATTTTTTCCCCCTCCCAGCAGTGTATCAATGTATCGAGGGAACTGCAGACCGATTCGGTTTGAACCACCAATGCTAGATTTCCATGAACAGTAAGTTGGGGAAATTTTGGCTAGTTAGCATTGCCAGTTGATGCAACGGTTTCAGAAATTAATTCTTATGGGAAGAACTTCTTTATTCAAGGGGGGGGGGGGAGATGATGCTTGCTGTTAAATGCCCAGAACCATGACTGCCTAAGCAGAACATTTCTCAGGCTTCCAACTAATGGGAAATACGGCCAGTGAACTTGGCCATCTGTTAATCTAGCACACTCTTGTCACTTTAGAAAATTTTGCCATTTCCCAGGTTTTGTTGTTGTTGCCCCTCTGTGTTTAATGAAAATCAACCATGTGTTCACTAGCATGTTGATAACCATCAGGCAACACCCAAACACTAGCAAAACAGTGGTCACATTGACACAACATAACTTAAATAACTTACATAATTATGTTGCTTATCAGTTGAACATCATAAACTTTTTCTATTCTTGATCATTACTTTTTAAACTTTGTAATCTGTGGTTGTGCCATGTTCAGGTTTTATTCTCTTATTTCATGTAGTCTGTCATAAGGTGATATGATTTTATGTATCTTGTAAGTGAAGCTGTTTGTGATGTTTGTAGAAACCAAAACCCTGGATGGTAATGAATATTAGAATTATTAGCAAATAAGTCAGACCAAATATAGGCTAAAGAGAGCTCAGATTTTTGATATCATTAGCAAATTTGGACTTTCTTCTCTTGACACAGTTTATGTTGGTAAATCTTTGATCTTCTTCACATCACTGCCCACGAGTCTTCTAGTCTTTTTAACTAGTGCAGTTGGCTTAATTGATATATACTGCCATGAGGTCAGTTGTCATAGTGCTGCATTTTCTAAGAAATGTGGAACCAGCGCTGCAGAACAGCGCTGCTATTCAGTGAAGAAGAAGAAGAGAGCGTTATTTAGTTGAATTTTTAAATTATTTGCTGTTTCTAAACAAAGGGTAAACTGTGCAACAAACATCACCCTAATGTAGCCATACCAGTATATTGAAACATTGTGAGCGATGCAAGTCCAAGCTCTGTTTGTTGCTGCTTACCCAATATAATACAAGTACTTACATATTGGGGGGGGGGGGGGGGAGAATGCAGTTCTTGTCACAGTGTGTTTCCCTAGGGGAGAAGAAAAATAACACTTCAGCAACCTTAACTTATTGGTATACTGAACTGTCTTCGTCCTAGGTCATTTCTTCAGATACAGCTAGAATGTGAGTCCGTCTGTCCTATATGTTGGAAAGTGAAGTGGTTTCAGATGCCAAATGAAATTAGCAGGCAAATGACAATAGAACGCGTGATTGGATTAGATGTGATATGCAGAAAGGTAGTAGGTGTGGAGAAATCAACATTGGTCTCAATTCAATCCACTATCTTTCTGCATATCACACCTAATCCAATCACACCTTCTATTGTCATTTGCCTGCTAATGTCATTTGGCATCTGAAACCACTCCACTTTCCAATATGTAGGACAAATGGACTCACATTTTAGCTGTATCTGAAGAAGTGAGCAGTGACTTATGAAATTGTGTTAGTCTTTAAGGTGCTACTGGACTCTTACTCTTTTCTACTGCCACAGACAGACTAACATGGTTACCCATCTTGATCCATCTTCATCCTGAATCTACATACATGTTGTGGTGGTAGGCAATTGACCAAACATTTAAACACTCTTTTTCTGCTCTTTTTTTAAAACAGGCCAGTTGGGATGCCAAAAATGGAAAAAGTTTACTTGCATAACCCCAGTTCAGAAGAAACTATTACATTAGTATCGATATCTGCAACAACCTCACATTTTCATGCATCTTTTTTTCAAAACAGGGTGAGTCAACTCTGCCTTTTGAAGCTGATTTGTATTACGCAAGCTTGTTTTACTCCATCACAGTGACTTAAATAACATTCTGGTGAATGCAAACCTGAGCCAAGATTGTGTTAGAGACAATTCACCAAGGAGGAGTTGTACGAAAAGTAAATGCCAAGGGGCGCTACTGTGACTTGCAGGGTTTCAGGGGGATGTAGTACAATACCTCTATAAAACAAATCACGTTCTAACTTCTAATGTTCCATTCTGACTTGGATTGTGCTTCAAGTTCTATGGAGCAAAGCACTCCCAGGGGCTTCAAATATGCCCAGCAACATTTCGCCCCCAACCAAATTTAACATCTGGCCTAAAGAATATTTTTGAAGACTCAAAAGTGTTACACCAAATTGAGTTTCTCATTGGCCCACTGAATGTTGATAGAGGTATTGTATGGAATACCTATAATCAGGCACCTGGGGGCACAATTCAAAGCCAGACTCATGCTTAGAAAATCCTTCTGAATTAATCCATATTTTATGAAGCTTAGCCAAGGGCCTGGCTCTCAGTAGCAACTGTATTTTATTTTTTATTTATTTAAAATGTATATCCTGCCTTTCTATAAGGTGTTCAAGGCAGGATACAAAATTTAAAACATCATACACAATCTCTGGAATAACCAGTTTGGGGGAGTTTCAGGGAACTCTTCAAGGCCAACCCAATGGGAGTACCTGTTAAGGTAATTAATCTAGAGGTGACTAGGGCATGGGTAGTTGTGGCCAGATAATCACTCTACAGAAAGGGGTGCAATGGGGCTCCCACGAAAGAGGCCACCTGGGCCTGTATGGTCACAGCTGTGAGCCTGCTGTTTCAGTAGGATTCCTAACCCATCTCAAATGGGCAACAAAACCATTACCCAAAAACAACGAAGCTCCAACCAGCAGCATCAGGAACTGGATTTTTTTCTGGATTCCTCTTCATTGTATTAACCCTGTGTATGCATAAGTCGTTAATAATTAGTCTGGTTTTAGGAGGATGAATCTGCTGGTTTCAATCATGCTTTTACAGTTCTATCAAAGTACTGGTGTTCAACACAGTTTTTGTATCGTGCCACATGAAAAGGCCACAAGTCAAGACTACCTCTTGAAATGAGCAAATGGCAGCAAAAAGTGTTTTCAATTAGGCAGCTGTCTCTGCACAGCTGACCCTAAGTGAACACTGCGATTGTCATCACTCTTGCTTTGTTGTCCTAGAAGCATAGCATCCCTGGAAGGAGCCTAAAAACCCAAGAGATGATACCTTGGAAGGAGTCTGGAGAGCTTGATTGATTTGTGCTCCTCTGCAGGTTCTAATGTGAAAGCTATGTAAAGGTAAAGGTAAAGGTTCCCTTGCTCAAAAGCCAGTCGAATCCGACTCTAGGGTTGCGGTGCTCATCTCCATTTCAAAGCCGAAGAGCCAGCGCTATCCGAAGACCAAACACCGGCATGACCAAACACCAAGGCGCACGGAACGCTGTTACCTTCCCACCGAAGTGGTACCTATTTATCTACTTGCAATTTCTTGTTTTCGAACTGCTAGGTTGGCAGGAGCTGGAACTAGAGACGGGAGCTCACTCCATCATGCAGCAACCTGGGTCTCGAACTGCGGAACTACTGACTTTCCACAGCCTGCAGTTCAGCATCTTAACCACTTGAGCCACCGCAGCACCACATATAATCCCCAAGGCAGTTACTGCATATAAAAAGTATTTACTGTGGGATAGTCACATCATGGTTTGTGACTAGAAACTTTGCAAATAGAAATGGACTGTATATTATGAACTTCAGCCCAAGTTAATTTTACACATTTTTTTGGATAAGGTGAATTGATTCAGTTCTTCTACTTCTAGCAAGACTATATGAAGTGCAGATCTGAATACATGTTTTCATATCAGGAAGGGTAGATCTAAAAAAAATGTGTTAGTGATCAGATTCCTTAGAACAGATCCTGCATATACACAGGAGAACAGATTTGGCAGACCCGCAAGGGGTCTAAATTCTTGCAATTCTATTAATATTCAAATATAAGTAAACAATACTAAAAGCTTTATCTGCTGTCACTGTGATTAAAAGGAATGGAACCAAATTTTTCTTTTAATCAGTGCATGCAGATAAGGGGCCAAATAGAATAAATACCCCTATTTTATCCTAACGGTACCTGAACAAAATCCCTAAACCACCTATGATGAATTGAGAGTTCTAATTGTTGTTCACTTTTGCTATGTACGCAGCTTTCAAAGGAGGTATATAAATATTTGTAAATAAAAATAAAGGCTGGGCCTGCATAGAGGCCTCTGAGCACAACTCCGGATCAGTGCCTCTCCACAAATCTAGCGTGAGTTGGGCACTAAGAAGGAAGAGAAGGAGCTGGCTGGGTTTTGTTAGGGACTGTAGTATCTGTGTAGCTATTGGTTCATTTTAGCACAGCCCACGAGACCTGGTATTCCAAAGAAGAAGTGAGTCTGCCTTCCCTACTTCCCTTGCCTGTTTTTGTGCTGCATCATAGGACCATTAGTTTCCCTGATGAATTACAATGGTGAGTGAAGTATATAATACAAGAATGCTGGGGGCCTTTGCACAGGCTGCTGCTTGCATTGTCATCCTCACAGTCCCAGCCAACATTATATGACTACACGATAGTCTAGTAGAGTGTAATTGGGTCTGGCTGATTTCTACTGGTTTTTTACATTAGGGTAGATTACTTTTTAATGGAGCACTTTGAAACCAGTTCGGCGTTGGCTTTTGTTCTTGTTTTGTTTTTTTGCATTTTGTTACCTGCCTCAGGTTCTTTCTTTAAGGGCAGGTGCAGACACAGAAGCATTTTAAACCAAAAAATAGAGAGCTGCCTGTCCAAATGCCCGTAGACACATTTTTTTGGTTTGGAATGGTTTAGAACTGAATTTTTCTAAATAATTATTCCACACCTTGTGAGTATTGCAATAGCAAGCAAATAATAAAGCTGTGCATGTTTAGTTTCTCAGTAGCTTGCAAGAATATTTGAACTAGGAAGGAGCCTAAGTAAATTTATTAAAATATTTATATCCCACCTTCCTCTTTGGCTGAGGTTTGAAGCCTTCCTTTAAATTAAGTGGCTCTTCTATTGGAAGAAGAGCCACTTAAGTTGGATGAAGGTTGATTCCACCCCACTACTAACCTTTGGAAGTAACTTCTGCTTTAAAGATTCTGGATAGTTTGAAGTGATGGCTAACATTTTGGGTTTTGAATGCTAGTCTTTGTTGACCTTTTGGTCTAGATTCTCAAAGTTCAGCGCAGGTACAGTTATACTAAATTTGCTATAACACATCTTCCTTTTGTTTCAGTGGGGTATGCATAGAGGACTTTCATACATCCTCCTTCTCTGCTGATCGGTGTTCATTCAGAAGTATTTGCCTTAGTGGTGCACTTGATATACTATAACCCCTCAGTGAGCAGTACATTGTGTTAAGCCTGGTGCTTTTGTCTTTTGTTGCTTGCTTTTCAGAAAATTCTCCCAGGAGGGAACACATCATTTGATGTAGTTTTTCTTGCAAGAATGGTGGGAAACGTAGAAAACACTTTATTTATTAATACATCGAATCATGGGGTATTTACTTACCAGGTAAGAAGAAATGCAATTTTAATACTTCGTTAACTGTTGAAAGCAGCAGGGGAAAACCTATTGTTTATGCCTTTGCATACAAACAACTTGCTACTGGTTCAGATTTCAGCATTGTCTGTGAAGGTGAAGCTTTTAGTTGAATGTGTATTACTTAATGTTAGATCATGTTGATATTCCTGCATTCTTGGGTGGAGATTGCTCATGGGGTAAGATGTCATTTAGATAGAGCACGCTTATAGAATGCTGTAAGACTCGAAGAATAAGGGCCATTATACTGTTTCTCTATTGATTTATTAAAATATTTATACTCTGCCTTTTAATTGAAAAGCTGCCTCAAGGTTGCTGATGAATAAATAAAACGGCTAACGTCTGCAGTTAGAAAATCCAAAAACATAATTGTCAGCAGAGATGCAGCATAAATAGTAAAAGATAAAAATAACCATACAAGTAGAACAAAAAGCAAGAAAACCATTAGAACTATTAATAGCCATTCATATTAGCCAAGGGTCCCCAAAGTTTTCTTTTAAAAGCATAACTTTAACCTAATGATGAGAATGTCATTAAAGAAAGGGTGTGATAGATCCTCTCATGGAAGGGGGAGTTCAGTAGTGTCAGGGGTCATTTGGGGGGGACGCGGGGGGACGCCATCCCCCTGGGTGAGGTGCGGGAGGGCGGGGCCTGGAGCTCCCTGCTGGTGCCCGCTGGAGGTCGCCGCCGGCTGTGGGGAGGACACACTTCCGGTGATGTCAGGGGGTGTGGCATATGCTAATGAGTTATGCTAATGAGTCCCCCTAGCTCTTTTTCTACGAAATGACCCCTGAGTAGTGTTGGTGGCAATGTTGAGAAGGCTGTATCCTTTTGTGATGACCTTCCAATACTCAGATGGCACGAGGGTAGGCTTGCCAGTCCCCAGGTGGGGAGGGCTGACTCCTCTGGAACTTGTAAACAGATCTGGAAGTGTTTAATCACATCCCACTATCAAAATGGATTTGTGCAATGTGTTTAAATTACGAGAAGTAGTAACAATGGTTTACTTATTGCAGTGAACAAAAGAGGGATTTCAAGCACAAGATACAAGATAAAAATAAAAGATGAAGGGGGAGAAGGGCATCTAAATTCTAAAGCAGGTTTCCCCCCAAGGGTAATATCTTAACAATTAAAAAAACCAAAACACTGATAAATAAATGAGCTGATCTTATGCATAATTATGATTGTATCCCATGACGTTAGTGTAGTTAGGGAGCAGAAGATGTCAAAGTTTATGGATGAAAGAGAGAAATTCTGCTTGAGAGATGTTTCCTTTGTAGTTGTCACTTGTACAGGGGGCCTGAACACAATGGATTGCTGCAGGGGGGGGGGGGCAGAAGTAGGGCATACGTTGCTTATATGCCGAACAATTTAAGTGGATGCTGCTGTTAAAATAAGTTTTTCCAAAGTAAACTTAACATGGGAAGAATATGAAAACATGCATTGCAGCACTAATATTTTGGGTTTTTTTTAAATTAACAGGTGTTTGGTGTTGGAGTACCAAACCCCTACAGACTACGCCCTTTTATAGGGGCAAAAGTTCCTGTAAATAGCAGTTTTTCTCCTCTAATAAATATACACAACCCCCACAGTGAACCCTTGCAGGTAAGTAAAATGTAGCACTTTCATATCTGTAATTTCTTGCTAAAGTGTTGGTTTTGTACTTTATGAAAAGCATTCCAGATGTTCTGTGGGTGTTTTCTTTCATATTCCTCAAATAAATTAAAGTTACTGTGCAAAATTCAAAATAGAAGCAAAAACATTTGTTTTATTAGAAAAGCTGCATTTGATTATACACATATGGAGGGCCTTCTTGTCAACTACAAACTTTACAAAGATAGTTCGGGGGGGGGGGGGTTCTTGATATTTTTCTGTCTTATTTAGACACCGTGGTTTAATTTGTGGCTTTCCTTGTAGGTGGTGGAAATGTATTCAAGTGGAGGCGATCTCCACCTAGAGCTTCCAACAGGCCAACAAGGTGGCACAAGAAAACTGTGGGTAAGTGGTATAAACACTAGTTGATATGTTTCAAGGTTTGAAATTTACTTACACGCAATCAGGATGTAACAGTTAAGCAAGTTAAATGCACCTCTTTTGCATTTGTTATATTCTATCTTGAGTGCAGCATATCTTAAGGACTGCCTGCTTCCATACGAACCTACCCAATGAATTACGGTCATATTCAGGGGGGGCCTGCTTTGGGTGCCTCCATCGTCTCAGGCTAGGCAGGTGGCAACCCCTGAAAAGGGCCTTCTTGGTCATGGTACCAAAAGTGTGGAATTCACTCCCCAGGGTGATTGTTCTTCATTATCACTGTCTTCTTCTGGCAGGTGAAGACTCTGTTTTGTTTTGCTGTTCCCTTAATGAATACTCTTCTTGCTTGTTTTACATGCAGTTTTATATATGTATCATTTTAAATCATTTGAGTGATTGCCAGGTCTTAGAATTTTTTAAACTATCTATGGAAGAGTTAGGGAGATGTAGTATTGTTAAATAACCATTCTGTGAATGGCTAAGGTAGATGAATATTGTTAGTAACTGCTTCCAGGAAACTTAGTTAGGAGCTTGAGTGATGGTGGGTTCCCTGGTATTTGTATTGTTAGTAGAGAGTAGTTAGTTAACATTTAGTATATTAGAGAGCCAAGAGGCTTGCTTTTTGTATCATAGGAAGTTAGATAGTGGGGTAGCGTAAAGAGCTAGGGGACTTGATATTGCTGTTTCAACTCGGGGTGGGTGAATTGCCTATTCAGCTAGTACCAGCAGTCTGTGGCCACACCAAAGACTGGTGGGTGCAGCAATGCTGGAACAGCAGATCCCGGTGCTCTTGGGGAGGGGAAAGTTTAGTGGTGGGTCTAGGCAAAAGACCAAGGGAAGGGCCCCGAGAAGAAGATTGGCTCGACGCCCTTCCAGCCTACGACCCATCTCGAGGGAGGTCTGCAGTGGGGCTAGGATGAAGAACCCCTCTCCGTCACTGGTGCTGTGTAATGCCAGGTCCATTAATAACAAGACGACAGTCCTTCGGGACTTCGTCATAGAACAACAAGCGGACCTGGCGTGCGTGACTGAGACCTGGGTGCGGGACGGGGAGACGGTAGCTCTCTCCCAACTTGCCCCGCCCGGGTTTTCGGTCCTACACCAATCGCAAACTAAGGGGCGGGGGGGTGATGTTCATTCGGGAGGCTTACTCCCTCAGGGCGCTCCCCGCGTTGGAGATTGCGGGCATGGAGTGTGTTGGCTTGGTGCTGGGGACTGAGGAGAGTCTGGCTATCTGGCTGGTGTACCGACTGCCTAACGCACCAGCTAGCGACCTGCCGTCCCTGCTGGAGGCCGTATCAGGCTGGGCGCTGGAGCACCCTAGGCTTATAGTCTTGGGTGACTTCAACGTCCATGCCGATGACACGGCCTCCAGCTGGGCTGCAGACCTGGTGTCGTCCATGGCGGCACTGGGACTCTCCCAATTTGTATCGATCCCCACTCACAAGGCCGGGCACACGCTCGACTTGATCTTCACTGAGGGGATTACAGTGGACCGGATTACTGCAAAGGCAGTACCATGGTCGGACCACTATGCCCTGAAAGCTCGACTGAATGTTCCACCCCGACCCTGTTTAGGCGGCAAGCAGATTTTAGCTTGCCCGCGAAGCCAAATGGACCCAGTATGGCTTCAAATGGCTCTGCGGGATCCTATGCCCCCTGTCGGCTCATTAGATGAGCTTGTGGAGGACTGGCATAGCCGACGTTCCACAGCCATCGATGAGATCGCTCCCAAGCGCCCTCTGCGCTCTTGCTCTAGGCTTGCCCCTTGGTATACACAGGGGTTGCAGCTTATGAAACGAGAGCTAAGACGGCTAGAGAGACAGTGGTGGAGTGCCCGCGACGAAGCATCAAGAACATCTTATAGGACGTTTATGAGATCCTATGAGATGGCAGTCAAGGCTGCTAAGAGGGAGTTCTATGCAGCCACGATTGCATCTGCGAGCTCACGCCCAGCCCAATTATTTAGAACAATTCGGTCTTTGACAGCTCTGCCCCATGGCAGACAAAATAGTAGGGAATTGGATATTGGCTGTGAGATTTTTG